AAACAGTATTAACAGGAACAAATATATAAAATGTACAAATATACAATCTGGTGTAACAACAGTAGATAAATAGTGTTTTGTATATACAGTTCGGGTTATTGCACATAGAATTTGGGATTGCACAGTGGTGTAACTGTTATTGGTGCATGTGTGAGTTCAGGGTGGTTATGGCTTTAGGGAAGAAACTGTTTGAGTCTGTGGGTTTTTGTACTGATGCACTTGTAGCATCCCTGAGGAAGCAGGCTGAACATGTTGGGAAAACCCGAATGCTTTTGTCCACAGTCACATTTGCAAAGAACTTGATATAGTCCGGTGCTGTGAAAGGTTTTAGCTCCTGGTGTTCAAATAGGTCCCAGTCTGTCTGTGTGAAGCAGTCCTGTAGCTTTCAGGCCAGGCTGTAACAGTCTTTGTGGTGGGCCTGGCACTGCGTCTGAGGGGGAAGTAGGCTGGGAGAGCAGGAGGGAGAGGTGGTCCGACTGGTCGTAGTGGGAGAGGGGTATGGCTCCATGTTGGAGTAAACATGATGTAGAGTGATCTCTCCCCTGGTGGGACATTTCACATGCTGATGGATCTTTGGGAGTAGTCTTCATGCTGGCCTTATTAAAATCACCTGCAGTTACGTGAACACCGTCCCGCTGCTGTTGATGGTGTTCAGTAGCATAGAGAGCTCCGTGTTTACTGATAGAAACCGATAGTGCAAAAAGAAATGAGAAGGATGTACAAACTAAGCAACTAAAGAAAAGAGTACTGAGACGGAGAGCTGTAAGCTGCTGCAACAGCGTGCGCCGCCATCTTGAGTGGTGTAGTAACAAAGTGCTTTGAGGGTCCAAACAGTAAAAAGGCTGCATAAGTACCATGTAAGACTTGATGTTGTACCAGGCTGCTGTTTTCATCCTGCTGACACTCTGATTTCAGAACAGATGTCAGCTGGTTCATCAGAAGGAAGATGATTGGATGAATTTCTGTTTGGCAGTTTTGAAGTGATCACGAGAGCAACAAGGAGGACAAGAAGTAACAACCCAGAAGCTACCAGCCCATAATGTCTGTTGACTTTATCCTGCTTCCCTCCAGCCTCCTTCCCTCCAGCCTCCTTCCCTCCAGCCTCCTTCCCTCCAGCCTCC